GCCTTTTCCAGTGCCTTTTGCACTTTCTCGTGGCCCTGCCAGCAAAAATGTGTTTCTGGTTAAGTTTTGTTGAAACAAAAAGATCAGCGATCTCTTTTTCGCAAAAAAGTGAGTCACATGGCAAAATCACTGGCGGGCGCACACAAACCGTGAAAAGGCACAGGAAAAGGCAGTGAAAAGGCGTTGGAAAGGCACTTGGAACAGACACGGCACAGGGCAACAGTAAGAACAGTAGCTGGAACTGCTCTTCATCTGGCTTGCTTTCCTGACGTCTGCTGTCCTCGCTCGCAGCGTGTCGATGTGAAAGAGTTGTTGAGCACAAAAGATGAAAACACAGAGTACTACGGGCGAAGATGTTAGACTTGATACTTACGAGGCAAAAATACGCAAACGTCACACCTTTAGACAGTAGATGGACCAAATGTTCAATCCCATGTATCAATAACTGTCGCCAACCCCAGACCCCCAAAGGTCAATGTTGAACGTAACTTGTAACATAACTTGATTGAATTTGTGTTTCCAGGGTTTGATTTGTTTCGTCCATTCGCCGAAACATGCTTGCAAGACCTCTAACATTGAGCATTGTGGTAGAAGGGGTCCACGTGGTTGAAAGGGTTTGAATATTTCGTCCATCTACGGTACTGGGTGTGGACGGCGACCGGAGACCTACAGACACACATGCGTGTGTTGTTATCAAGTGATGCCGGGCAGTTCCAAATACTGTTCTGACTGTTGCCATGTGCCGTGGCTGTTCCCAGTCCCTTTCCAGTGCCTTGCCAGTGCCTTTTCCAGTGCCTTTTGCACTTTCTCGTGGCCCTGCCAGCAAAAATGTGTTTCTGGTTAAGTTTTGTTGAAACAAAAAGATCAGCGATCTCTTTTTCGCAAAAAAGTGAGTCACATGGCAAAATCACTGGCGGGCGCACACAAACCGTGAAAAGGCACAGGAAAAGGCATTGGAAAGGGACTGGGAACAGACACGGCGCATGGCAACAATAAGAACAGCTGCTGGAACTGCTCTTCATCTGGCTTGCTTTCCTGACGTCTGCTGTCCTCGCTCGCAACGTGTCGATGTGAAAGAGTTGTTGAGCACAAAAGATGGAAACACAGAGTACTACGGGTGAAGATGTTAGACTTGATACTTACGAGGCAAAAATATGCAAACGTCACACCTTCAGACAGTAGACGGACCAAATATTCAAACCCATGTATCAATAACTGTCGCCAACCCCAGACCCCCAAAGGTCAATGTTTCCAGGGTTTGATTTGTTTCGTCCATTCGCCGAAACATGCTTGCAAGACCTCTAACATTGAGCATTGTGGTAGAAGGGGTCCACGTGGTTGCAAGGGTTTGAATATTTCGTCCATCTACGGTACTGGGTGTGGACGGCGACCGGAGACCTACAGACGCACATGCGTGTGTTGTTATCAAGTGATGCCGGGCAGTTCCAGCTACTGTTCTTACTGTTGCCATGTGCCGTGTCTGTTCCCAGTCCCTTTCCAGTGCCTTTTCCAGTGCCTTTTGCGCTTACTCGCGGCCCTGCGAGCAAAAATGTGTTTCTGGTTAAGTTTTGCTGAAACAAAAAGATAAGCTATCTCTTTTTAGCAAAAAAGTGAATCACATGGCAAAATCACTGGCGGGCGCACACAAACCGTGAAAAGGCACAGGAAAAGGCACTGAAAAGGCATTGGAAAGGCACTGGGAACAGACACGGCGCATGGCAACAGTAAGAACAGTAGCTGGAACTGCTCTTCATCTGGCTTGCTTTCCTGACGTCTGCTGTCCTCGCTCGCAACGTGTCGATGTGAAAGTGTTGTTGAGCACAAAGATGAAAACACAGAGTACTACGGGTGAAGATGTTAGACTTGATACTTACGAGGCAAAAATACGCAAACGTCACACCTTTAGACAGTAGGTGGACCAAATATTCAAACCCATGTATCAATAACTGTCGCCAACCCCAGACCCCCAAAGGTCAATGTTGGAACGTAACTTGTAACATAACTTGATTGAATTTGTGTTTCCAGGGTTGATTTGTTTCGTCCATTTGCCGAAACATGCTTGCAAGACCTCTAACATTGAGCTTTGGGGTAGAAGGGGTCCACGTGGTTGAAAGGGTTTGAATATTTCGTCCATCTACGGTACTGGGTGTGGACGGCGACCGGAGACCTACAGACGCACATGCGTGTGTTGTTATCAAGTGATGCCGGGCAGTTCCAGCTACTGTTCTTACTGTTGCCATGTGCCGTGTCTGTTCCCAGTCCCTTTCCAGTGCCTTTTCCAGTGCCTTTTGCGCTTTAGCGCCTTTTGCACTTTCTTGTGGCCCTGCAAGCAAAAATGTGTTTCTGGTTAAGTTTTGTTGAAACAAAAAGATCAGCTATCTTTTGAGCAAAAAAGTGAGTCACATGGCAAAATCACTGGCGGGCGCACGCAAACCGTGAAAAGGCACTGGAAAAGGCACTGAAAAGGCATTGGAAAGGCACTGGGAACAGACACGGCACATGGCAAGAGTAAGAACAGTAGCTGGAACTGCTCTTCATCTGGCTTGCTTTCCTGACGTCTGCTGTCCTCGCTCGCAACGTGTCGACGTGAAAGAGTTGTTGAGCACAAAGATGAAAACACAGAGTACTACGGATGAAGATGTTAGACTTGATACTTACGAGGCAAAAATACGCAAACGTCACGCCTTTAGACAGTAGATGGACCAAATATTCAAACCCATGTATCAAGAACTGTCGCCAACCCCAGACCCCCAAAGGTCAATGTTGAACGTAACTTGTAACATAACTTGATTGAATTTGTGTTTCCAGGGTTGATTTGTTTCGTCCATTCGCCGAAACATGCTTGCAAGACCTCTAACATTGAGCTTTGGGGTAGAAGGGGTCCACGTGGTTGAAAGGGTTTGAATATTTCGTCCATCTACGGTAGTCGCTTCTTGCTACTAGTAGCTTCTTGTTCCTCTCCTTGCTTTCTACAGTCGACCAACTAATCCTGTTTCCATCTCTCCCACCTGGGTCGTTTCAGCTGCAGGTAGTGTCCACGCGCTGCATGTCCGCGGCTGCAAGCGTCAAGGTCAGGTGCGACAGGGCAGCGTGTGGAGCCACACGGGGGGCTGCGCCTGGGCGAAGTATTTCCTCGTCCCAGTGAAGGACGTGAAGGATGTGGATGGCTCGAGCTCCGAGATGAGCCGCTCCAGCTTACTTCAGTTTTATCGTCCCATTTTCTCTTTGTTGGAGACAGCACGTTTGTTGTAGTGCATGCTGTGACTTAGTGATTTTTGCGTTGCTGATTCTGCCTTACTTGGTCTCTTTGGGATATGATTCTCTGGCAAACCAGAATTTCGTCTGAACCAGGGGATCTGAAATCGGAACACGTCCCGGTGCGGCGACAATCGAGCATCGCCAACTCGATCGTTCCGTTGTTTCACTTCTTGGACGCTTCCATTGGCGTAGTTTCTTGTTACTAGTAGTAATGCCCTTGTTACTAGTAGCGATGCACTTGTTACTAGTAGCTTCTTGTTACTACTAGTAAGACACTTGTTCCTAGTAGCCATGCACTTGTTGCTAGTAGCTTCTTGTTACGATGCTTAAGTAGAGAAACATAAAGGAACCGAAGAAACTATGTGCTCACAAATTCTCCAGTCAAAAACAGAGCATGTCACCAGGCTCAAGAAAACCTATTTATTCCATCAAGTGTTAACCAAAAAATCTAGGAACCAAATCATTAGTGCGTGAGCTATTCTGGTTCCTGGGTAGGAGCGTACTTGTAGGTAGCCAGGGGTCTCATGCAAGTTTGGTGTTGACTTGTCGTTGACTTAATAGCTTCGATTGCTGTTTTTCTTATCACAAGGGTGGCAGAACTTGCCAAGTCAACGACAAGTCAACACCAAACTTGCACGAGGAAACATATATGCACTGTATATATGATGTCCACATCTGATTAATAAATGAGAGCTCGACGTTATGCGGGTGTGGTTTTTACGTGCTTTTGTGGTGTTTTTCTTAGATTTTGTCATGTTTAATCAGAGTTTCCATGGTTATAGTCTAGATATGTTCTTGTGCTCCTGTTTCCTAAACAAAGCCAACTTTTCTTGCTTAAAAAACCCCTGGATCTAACTCTACCCTTCCTTGCCCATAAGCATTCTCATTGTTTCAAAGGTAGCACTTTTTGGGCTTCTCCCTCCACATTCTTTATGAAATGGGCTTCTCCCTCCACATTCTTTATGAAATGGAGAGAAGATCATTATCTTGAAACACAATGTGCCCACCACGCCCAACAAAAGTTGAGAAACTTGCTTAGTAGTACTGGACCTGGATGACTGATTGGAATTGGGTTTTGCATGGCCTTCTTGACGTCCATACCCATAATAAGCCTCATCCTCATTCTCAGGGTCACTTGGGAGCTCACATCCTATCCCACAAGTTCGATTGGACCAATCCTGCTCATCTCCACTGCTCTCACCCAATGGCTCTTCAGATCTATCTCCATATCACCCCATCTATGACGAAATCTTCCAAAGAATCTTATGAAGCCCATGGAATGATCCAGCCTTAGATACACTGAGGGTCTGAATTGGCTGTGTGGCCACTACTCATTCCCAAGGCTACCTTCTCTTCACCCTAACCTTCTTGCCCACACATAGACATACATGAAGTCAGGTTGTACCAAACCTGGCATGCTCAGCATGCTCCCAATATTCACCCAACATTGCCAACCGCATTCTCGCGATGAAACCTCATTGGACCTCACCAACACCCACCCAAAAGTAAACCAATAGATTGTGCAAAAATTGCCCTACCAATAGCGTGAATCATGACAAGCAACCAATGTTGTACCCAAATGGTTCTGATCTTCCATTGGGCCACCTAATCATGCACAAACCCATTTGCACCAGGCATTCCATGGACCCCATCCCCATCATTGATTGCCCAGCAAGTTTCCCTCTCACATGGTGCCCATGTGTTCTTGGAGGACAATCAAACCCAATCGAAGCACCATCCATATTGTGCTGCTGTCTAGAGCATTTGCTCAATGGCTTGTATGGCAAAACAATTTACTCAAAGTCAAGATCCCAATCTCTCGTGCCCAGGTGTTGCATCTACGCAACCGCCTTTGGTCTCAAATGGAATTGCACGCATACAGCCACAAGCCCAATGCCAGCTGTTTGATGCACCCAATGCTTCATCTCATCTCATCTCATCTCATCTCATCTCATCCACATTGGAAGTTCCATTTTCCTATGCTCTCTAGCTATATGCCCATCTCTCTCTTTCATTGGATATCTTAAGCCATCAAATCAAGACAATCTTCCACACTCCATCATTGAGACCATACAGTATAGGTATCCACCCTCACCACATAGAGCCTACAGTATATACAAGTGCTTGCAGGAGCAGACAGTTGTGTCTTCAAACAGACGAGAGGAATATAAGAAGTTGTGGTGGAATTGGAATTGCTACTCTTACACAGGTAGCTATAATGGAATCAAACATCTTGACTATCTCTAGCACCTGGGCCACTTCCAGCTCGTGGAATTGACAATGAGTCCTCAATCTCCAGCAAGTGGGGCCTGGGCCTGGGCTTCTCCGGGGGGGGGGGGGGCAAAAAAAAAAAAAAATCCCCCGGATTTGGACAACCATTTTTGGACAACCACTTTTTTTTTTTCCCCCCCCCCCCCTAGAGAAGCCCAGGCCCAGGCGCGAGTTGCTGGAGATTGAGGACTGATTGAGATTGGAGGTCTTGGAGACCAGATCTCCCTCATAGAGGTGATGACCTGATGTTGTATGATGGGATGTCGTGGACTTGCTGATAGATGATGGTTGATGGACTTCTGTGTGGGAATCAATGAGAACTAGTATGTTTGAATCAGATTGATGAGAAATTTGATAGATTACAAGTCGACATTTTTGCTAGACACGTTCTTCAAAACAACTAACATTTTCAAAAAAACACAGAAAACCACAAATCACAAAAACGCGTAAAAACCACACCCGCATAACGTCGTTTTCTGTAATAAATAGGGGGCCTCAAACTGACTTAATAAATGTTTAGTATTGGTAGCATTTCCCTTACTATAGGAGAAAGAAAGGCTAAAGACAGTTAGCTTTAAAGATTTAGAGTGTGTTTATAAATCAGTTTTGGGATTTGCTTAGCTTTATTAAGCATATGATATGATTACCAATCATATGTCGATTTTACATAACAAGAAACCATTTCAGAAATCATTTGATCAAAAGAAAACAAAAAAGACATCACTTGGGTGGCGGAAAAAAAATCGTGCTTTTGCTTACAGCCTCGTGGTTCGCTTCCCAACTGCCATGTGAGAACGAGAAAGGATGTTCGCACCCAGGAATATTTCGGGAGAGCGGGTGGGCAGCAACAAAGGGCATCGCTACTAGGAACAAGGACGCTACTAGGAACAAAGGGCATCGCTACAGGTGATTGAAATCCTGTTCTAAGCCGCAGCCCTGACAGTGTGCGAAGGATTCTTCACTTCCCTCACTGTGGGACTCACAAACTGTAATTGTATAATCCTTGTGGCACAGCCCTGAGGGCAAGGAACCGACGCTGTCCCACACCCGCAACCATCGCCAACCTCAAGCTGCATTCTTTCCAAACCGCTCTTTCTCACGATGCACCGGCCGCCACGTTGAGCGAGTCGCTTCCGAAGGCGAGTTGCGATTGAAGGGGTCGCATTAGAACGTGACGAAAAACTGTGAATTGGTTTTTGCTCATTTGACCCAGCCACGTTCCCACCCTGTCCTTCTTCCTTTCTGCCCTCTTTCCCTGCCACCCCACCCATTAGACTGGCTGGTGGTTGAAGGAGAATTGACCCTGTGTTCCAAAGTAATCCCTCCAATGTGTTCTAAAGATTCTAGAGTGACACTGTTGCCTGTCGTGCCCGTGTGCGCCTCATCTTATGTCTCACTGAGTATTCACACCTATCAGCGGTCTGTGTCGAACATTCTTTTGCCCATGCCTAGTACTGACAAACATCAAGCCTCCTTTCCGATGACGGGTCCTGACTGATCCTATGGCTCCCTTGATTCAATTCCTTTGCCGCTCCTTTCACCGTGAATCCCTTATTTGTTTGCCATCGATGTTGCCGCTGATCTTGGGTTTCACCTCACCAGCCAGTTTAATCAGTTGGGAGCGTGGGCCAATTCATGGGCCGTACAGATGTATGCGGAGATTCTTCCATTGTGCTGCACTGGAGTACTACCACCCCAATCTTGGAATAGGGGCGTGCCGGGGATCGTTCTTCAGAATCTAAAAATGGGTTTGCCAACCTTACTTAATGCGAAAGGGACAGCTACCTTGATCTGCGAGAAATCCCTAACTAGTTGTTTTGCTCCAGCCATCAAATCATCTCAGGTGACTTTATGTTGGTGGATTTAGAAGCCCTTTCCATGGCCTTGAGCCAAGCATTGCTCCACGTCGCTGGCAGAAAACAGTGGTCCTTTGCAGCGAACACTGTGCGGTCTCCGTTGAAAGGGTCAACCTTCAATCTTGTTACTACTAGTAAGGCACCTGTTACTACTAGCGTGGCACTTGTTTCTAATAGCTTTTTGTTACTACTAGTAAGGCACCTGTTACTACTAGCGTGGCACTTGTTTCTAATAGCTTTTTGTTACTAC